TCACACATTGGTTAAGTCTGAAGTCTGGTTTGAAGACTTGTGGCTGTCTAGCCTAGTGTTCTAGTTGAGACACTGAGCTAAAACCACAGAGGGGGCTTGGGTATCAAAATATCTGATTTACTCTATCTGCTTAGTAATTTTTTTACTATTCAGACCGGGCATTTAGGATCTCCCGTAACACTGGAGGAGAATCAAGAGATAGAATTCAGGGTAAGTCCCATTAAAGTCAGCATATCAAGATAGAAACTGCATATTAAGAGGGCCCTGAGGGCACTAAGAGGCCTCAGTGGCCCTGACCAGCCTCAGCTGGGGTCTCAACCCCACCCACTATGGGTCCATTTAAGTCAGCCTGCTGGGCTACATCACAGCCTGGCTACCTTTATTGGGCCCGATCCTGACCTTGTGTTGCTGATTTGCATCCCTGGCTTTACCGCAGAGCTGTCTCATCACTACAGATGTGCTTGATGACCTAGATTCTTGGTTGAGGCTGACCCCTGCCTGCCCTGCTCCCTCGCTGGAGACAATGGACAGGCCAGCTGGGCTCTGCCCTTCCAACCCCCACCCTGGAGATACTCCCCATGAGAAATCATTCTAACACAGAAAAAATAGTCAGACATAATAATGATTTAGTGATCTCCTCAAAACACTTTTTCATGGCATAGAACTCCTCCAAGTACAGTACACATTGCAAGTTCTAGATTATTGGACACACTCGAGGGCTAGCTTGTGAAACAAAAACCAGGAATTGTGACCGTAACATTAGATCGTAATTCAGATGCAGAGTTGTAAAAGCTATCTGCCACTATGGGACATTCTCCCTTCCAGAGCCTACTAACCTTGTGTCTACTAACCTTTTAAGGCTGTGAGGATATCATTGAAGTCCTAGGGATATGCAGAAGCAGAATTCTCGGTTTGGAAGATTGTCTACAGAAAGGAGCTTTTATGAGGCCTCTCGCACAGTTATTCACCAGTCATTGATCTTAGCTCTCCATAATCCAGGCCCAGATTCTTCGTGTGTGTACTACAAAACAATGAAACATGAATTATTGCACTAGGTGGAATATTTTTAAGATGATATTAGTTTGTTAGATGTTTAGTATGTTAGTAAATATATTATGCTTTTATTCATAATAATTACAATCATTAAAAGGCCATAACTTCTTTCAGTTCGGGTGACCTGGAGCGATAAAGCCACCAGCTGAGAGTTAGGTAGAAATGTGCATCACTGCAAGACATCAGTTGGTCACAAAAATAATCAGAATAACTAACTTCTCTTTGAGGGAAATTTGAAAAGCTCATTCTGGATCCTGCTCTCCTGTCAAAACTTGTCTAATTTCGCTCTTAACACTGTCACACTAAAATGTATAAATAGTGTGAGGTTTGTGAACCGTAACAGAAGGAAAGCTTTCTGTAATTTGACCTGTATTCTTCTCAGCCTCCTGAAAAAAAAAATCTTACCATTTTGTCATCTTGCAAAAGAGATGGTCCTACATTACGAAAAATAGTTCGTTATATATTTGAGTGATAGTTAGACTTCCCTTTTCTGGCACTGGCTCTGTAGTGGGTGCTAAGGAATGGACAAGCACTCACACAGCACTTGGGGGGCACGATTTGTTCACTCTGCCGAACTTAATCTTGAATGGAAGAATTTGACTAGAAGGTATGACTCTTAGTGCTTTAGCTCCCACAATTCCCACAGTTATTACTCCACTGTTATTACTTACAAGAATGAAAGAAAAAAATACATAACTAAGAAACATAAAGAAATGCATTTTCCTGTTTTGTTCCTTTTCAATATATTTTTAGTGCAAAACACTAGAGGTATGAATTTCATCCCTGTAGTAACAGCTCTCACAAAGGCACCCATTTCAGTTAGTCCTTACAGTTGTAAAAATGTACCTGCAGTAGCTGCTGGATGTTTCAGTCCTTGATCAGCTACCTGGTTGAGTCGATTCTGCTGGTTGTTCAGCTTAAACCAGAGTAAACTGCATGGTACAAGGCAGGCAGCATACCTCGGTTCTAATGCAAAGCAAAGCAATCCACACTGCATGTTAGTTACTATCATAAAGCTAGGTTATCACAGAAACTATACATGATGAATATTCTCTGGAACAACACACAAAAATCTTCAAAGTTACCTAAAAAACAACCATGTTTTGACTTTGCATAATAGTATAGTTCACAAACATTTTATAGAAAGACTTGTCATTTTCACTTTTGCTACTTTTGTCTTAACCTTTCAGCAAGCTTTCAACATCAGTTTTCTTCACAAGGCAAAAGAATAATTCCCTAACTGGACATAATAGAACATTAAGGGAAGGTAGATGAAGCTATCGTAACTTCAGCATATGAGCCTGCCATCAGGAATTCACACAAAAAAACCCCAAACATACATATTATGCAAATGGTTGTATTTGAAGAGATAAGTTAGACCCAATTGCCTTTCCAATGCAAAATACAAAAAACTTTTCAAAATTACTGTTGAAATTAATTTCAGATGGAAAAGTCAAGTTTACCTAGGTATTCTGAAATAAAGGTAGAAACAGAATGAATTAATCTACAGATGTAATCAGTGCAGTTTAATTTTTAATCAGTCAAAAATATCATTTAAGAAGAACTCATCCCTTTTAAACAGGTTAATTAAAAATTAAGCTTAGTGGGAAGTTCAGCATCCTTCATTGTGCTCAAAAAATACAGTATTTCATGTTTTATACAATAGCTTTATTATCAAATGGCAAGAGACATTTAGTAATGATGTCATGCAGGTATCACAAAAAATTCCAAGAGACAAACAGGTCACCTAGCAGCTCAAAATTCCTTGCATTTAAAAAAACAAAGCTACATCTTCCTGATTTCCCAGTTAGTTTCATAGTAGACACAGTTTTCCTGTCAAAATGTTACAGCTGTCTCTTGGATCACTTTCCGGATTCCCTGAAGGAAAGAGAAGGCTAGTACAGTATTCCACAGCACAGTGCTTTTTTTGCCTTGTCACAAGGCCTTCCTTGCTCTTCACAACCCTCAGCAGTAGTCCTCACAGGGTAGGAAGCTGCCCGAGGCCCTTGGCAGCTAAAGATAAACACAGAAAGGACAGGTTAAAAAAAATGCTCAGGTTTTGCAAAGGGAAAGAACCTTATTTTCAACCTTTTTAAGGTCTTAATGCTTTTTGCCACAGTGACAGCAACCCAGTCTATGGCTGAATCACAATAGGTTTTTCAGTAACATAGCCTGATCCCATCTACGCAGTGAAATGTAACTCAGTGAAAATGTGAAGTGATAGCACGATTCACATTTAATTGAAAAATAGTTCAGTTCCTTCTTCTGTGTCAAATTTCCACCAAAACATTGGCTTTATACAGCGTAGAAGGGATTTTAAAACAGCATCTGTTATTGACCAGAAATTAAGACAAATTTTGAGAAAAGCCATTGGACAATAAGTAGTACGTGATTTATTCTGAGAGTTCATCTGCATGAAAAGTTAATTATGCAGAAAAGCTTGCTGTAAATCTACAGCAACTTCACACTCAATAGTCCAGGGGACACTTGCTCACAACTGCTAAATTCACACTCAAGTTTACTATGGAATAAAACCCCTGGGTAGATGACCTCCGAAATTAGAACTGCAGCAATAAAAATAATCACTGTTCAGATTTAAGTGCCAATGAAGTACACTTTCAGAGTAAATTCTAAATAACAATACAACTGCTGAAGCAAAATGATCCTACAATAAACTTGCAAACAGAAGCAATATGAATTCCTTTATATACCTATGTAAAAAATACCATTTACTGTGCAGCCCAGATTTAAATAAAAGACAAATAGTGTATCAATAATATTTACTATATATTTACATGTAACACTGATGAAATGAAGGAGTCAATTAACATGTTACAAAAAGAACAAAACTCTTTAAAGGTACCAGTACCTTTCACATTATCACATTTATGGAGCTGTTCTGATACATCTCAATGATCTATCATATGATGAGTTAGCATGAGGATACAAACAAATAAACCCTTGACTTGGAGCATACGCTAATGTGTCAACTCCCATTTCAGCAAGGTACTTCAGGGGCACCAAGTTAAAGCATATAAGCAGCACTGGTTTCAGCAGACCCAGTTCCTTGCTGATCAGGGCCTCATTTTACAGCGTTCCACTGACAACATAACAAACTACAACAGTTATAAGCATACAAGTGGAGGGATCATATACCTTACTGAGTGAATATATATACTTTTACTTAAAGGTGAATCATAGCTGGTTGCCCATTGCCAGTTACTGACTTACCAGACAATGGAATCATCCTTCCAATTTTATATACACGACCCTTCTGCTACATGACACTTTGGTCATTATTTGGAATCAGCTCTTTAATAAGAACTGCACCAATTTGTGTACCTGACATTTCGAGCTGCAATGGAAAGTTTTATACTCTTTACATATTGCTTGAGAAATGGTAGTATTACACTGCTTAAAGTTAAACATTTTTCAATCACTTGAAAACTGAGTTTTATATAATTATACAATCATTTTCTTAAATTGGCAGGATAAATCTGTGCAAATGAAATACTGGCAAAATAATCAACATTAAAAAACTAAAATCAGAACTTCAAAATCATCAGCCACAATAGAAATTCTAACCTGCTCTCTCCCTTCCTATATCCTCTCCCAGAATAAAACTTTACAAAGGATGAGAGGGAATGATGTGACACTTTGCTTTTGTTAATCCAGTTAGTAAAGCAGATGTAGGTTCAAGTATTTAAATCCACACAGCACTAATAAATAGAAGTAAACAATCAGGATGAGATCATCATTGTAGTTAAAGTACTGCAAAAAATCTTCGTTTCTGAGTAAGCACCATTATTATATTATGCTATTGTCTTGGAACTCCAAAAGGCAAAAAAAAAAACCCCACTGTTGATGAGAAATGTACTCAGACCAGACTACATGCAAGCCTACAGAGAATGTTACAAAACTGGACTGAATAATTAAAGTTTTTTTCCTGCAAGTTTTAGAAAGCATTATCCACAGTTTATGCCTACATTACAATGTTTACTCTGCAGATAATCAGAGAAAAATGTTACATTTGTTTTCACTGCCCTCATCCTGAGGGCCCCACACACACCCTCCGAAAGTAAAACACTGATGGTTTGGTTACAAAACTATATGCAGTACATTTCTGAACACAATTCCTTCTATTTTAGGCCATGTGTTCGTTTAAAGACATTCTTATCCGTTACAAGCCTCCTCTTTAATTGCTTAAGATCCAATAGAAAAGCAAATATACAAATATCAGAAGTGCTGATCCTGAGATGAAGCATGGGAAATTATGGTCCAGTTTGATCACTATTCAAACTTCTGTTTCAGTTTCTTCTGGAAGACAGCTGGAAGGATGGAGAGGATGGCTAGAATCATGAGAACAAAAACAGAGTTCCAGGAAACAGCTTCCCCTGCTGTTGTAAGTTGGTACAGTGTTGTTCCTGCCTTAATGGCTACAAAAGACGGTGGTGCCACACCTGGAGCAGGGAATTAAAAAGGTAGGAAGGCAAAGGAAGGAAAAACAGCTTGTTAGTGGGGAAAAAACAGCATAAATTAGTCATCCAACTTTCAACATCAAAAGTTTCAGGCTTTGTTACCTTGTACTTTTTTGTTAAAAAGAAGGGTGTAAATACAAAATTAAAAGACAAAAAAAAAACTTATCAAAAGAACTTTTTTGCCATTTTGGTATTTTTAACACCAACTCAAACACAGAAGACTAAGAAAATAATCTCCGCTCTTTAGACACTGAAGATTTCAAGCTGTCCTTCTACAAACCGAATTTTATTTAAATTCATAAAGGAAAAATATGGACTGTTTAAGAAACAGATTAAGAAGTGTTTACAAAAATATGCCAATTACAAAACTAAGGTGTTTAGCTCTACATTAGTTAAATTATAAATTTACCCCTAGGAAGACATATTATGATTAACAAAATGGAGTGGGAAAGGGAGAAACAATCCTCCAGATCAAAGTCACATACATCCTCAAACAATTATGCTGAGCTCAAAATGGGAGCTTAGAGAAGTTCCCAGAAGTATTATAGTCACAGAGTGGAACAATAAGTTACTAATAACGTGTTCATATAAGTCATGTTTCCTTAAGCAAGTCATTAAGCCTGGGCTCACGACCTCTCATCCAGTACATCAGAATAGTTCTGACTATTAAAATCTTTTGGTGCTGTAAGTTCCACACATCAAAAAGTACAAAAACAATATTCCCATGTAACCGTTCAGCTGTCCAGCAGGTGGTGATCTCTGCTGAACAACGCATACAGAAAGAGGCACGTAATATCCCTTCTTCTGTCCACCCCCAAACTGCAGTTCACTAGCCAGAATTCTTACCTAAAAAAGTGCCAATGAAAAATACTTTCAATGGCACATTAATTACAGGAGATGTGATATTGATAAACCAATTGGGAAGAAAAGGTGTTATTCTCAAAAATATTATGTAGTTGATGAGGTGTTCTCTGTGTCGTTCAACCTGCCAAAAAAAAAAAAAACACAAAAAAAAAGAAAAATCAGTAAAAAAAAAAATCCCTGCCTTGAAAATACACAATTATTTTACTACTAGAGGTTTGTTAGGGGTGTGGTTTTTTTTTTATCTTTTGTAGAAATTTACAAGTCAAAAACATAAAAATCTGTTAAACAATGAGTGACTCTTCCTTGAGTCATCAATGAATCACCTGTTAAATAGTAGGGAAGTTAGTCTGGAAATACCAGTCTGCGGTACAGCATGATGACCATGTGTCTGAATCAGCCAACTTAAACAGCAAACAAGTAATTCAGCACAGCAGCAGGCCTAATCCTAACTTTAGTGCAACAACCTCTGCCTGTCTAACTGTACCCCAATCAACACTGTCAGCTTCTCATCCTGACCCTAAAGCTTTTGCAGGAACTAGCAATGAAGTTTGTTCCTCAACTCATTCTGTCCTAACTCATGATCAAACCTGAAACACGGCTGTATTCCTCACTTGGAAACTTATCCAGGTCATGGCTCTGAAGTTCATGAAGTGGCTGCTGCCACAGTTGCAAAACTTACCTACCCATACGTTAGAATGCTTAGCATCAGCATTTACCCAGGAGCATCCACAATAGCCTCAATTTTATTTACAGTCTGAATTATATTCTCAAGTCTAGCCCAGCTACTTACACTAGTACTACAAAGCCTCTTCTCCTTCCAGCCTGACTTTAGCACATCAGCCCTTTCAAACAAGAACTGTAACCTCAAATCAAGTTATAAGGATAGCAAAGCATCCACCATTTCTGGCCTATCCTGGCAGACCTTCACTAAGTCTGAGCCTAAACATGGTCATCTGGCCCCAGCTGAAACCAAACCGGGTCTGATTACAATTTCATCTGAGATCTCATGTAGCAACTCCCTCTAGTCACAATACTGGTTTTTCCCCCAACTTTAGCTTTAACTGCAATACTGAAGCCAGTAGCCCTACTACTGTTCACTAGTACTATTGTGGGTTTTTTTTCAATCTTAGTGAAGGATGAATATTCAAGCATTCATTAAATCTGCATATAAAATGTCTTAGCTCTCAAAATGCAAGCGTGATACAGTCCAATTAACCTGGAAACAGTGAGATACGAGCTCCACATGTAATTACATAATTTTAAATCACATATCCAGTTCTATTAATGGAAATCGTAACCATTTGCTGCTTAGAGAATAGCCTCAAGATTGCACTGCAATATTAAGATTTACTTGGGTCAAGAGTCAAAATACTACTATATTATTTAATAAGGTCAATGGTGCAGGACACAGCTCCACATCTTGCCTCATGAAGAACAAGTTTAAAATATTTTTACATGATTAAAAAATCTTGAACAGAGTACAATAGTAAGTTGTGCTTCATACTTGCCAAAAAAAAAAAATCTGTTCAAACACGTTTCAGAGTATCAAAGCAAGAGTAATGAGGTCAAATACTAATCACACTATGATTTTGTATTGCAAAATCTTTAACTTCATCTGACAATTAACACTTGCTGAAACTAATGTTACCAGATACTATAAAAAGAAATTTTCTAAATGCTCCAACCACAATAACATCTTCAAATTAAGGTTCTGCAATCAGACATAAAGCTATTGGTTTTCTTCCCCTATGAAAAACAGAAACCCAACTTTCATTAGTTCTGATGCTTACAGAATGATTATTTTAAATTGAAACTGGAAAGGTTTCCTATTGACATTAGCTAAACCAGGGGAGTTACCAGTTGCAAACTCTTCCTAGGCAAAAATAGCTCCCTCACAGGAAGTACTGTAAAAATCAGGAATACTCCCCACTGTTTAAAAAAACACTCAAAGTAACTACACAGTGTCAGAAAGGAGTCAGAATCCTTTCTTTTATGAGCAGAAGGCCCCCTAGTTTTCCATGCTATTCCATTATACATTTTCTATCATAAAGTTCAGCATCTCTAGAAACTTTACCTGTTCTGACCATTTTACTGCTTTTTCTGTTAAATATCTGTATACAACAGGACGTCCCACTAGGTATGAAAGCATATAGCAGAATGAAGCTCCAAGTCCTGAGCACTGGGAAAAGAAAAGAAAAAAAAAGAACAAATGAGCAGAAACTCTAATTATATACACCTATTAACTACACTGTCTGCACAGAGTCTGCTTCTATGCAGCTCGCCTTCAAGGCTGAAGGGCTCTCCTGCAGCAATATATACACACTCCCCAAGAATGCTCTTGACCCAAGACAGTTCCTTTACTTTCAAGGCATTTAGATCAATCTTAACACTCAAAGCAGACAACACTGATTACTTATCAGTTAATATTGAGTACTTCTGCAGTTTTATTTTAAGATTTTGAACAGTGAAAGCTTTGCAAGTAAGGGGCACAATGGCATTAAAGAGATTCAGACTTGAAAACTCATCAACTTGGTCCCCATACCTACTCAATTATCTCATTCTCAAGCACTAAGGCTCATTGTGACTGCATCTTTCGTATATAACTTTTTTTTTTTTAACTTATCAATAACATACATTTCATATCTTAAATTAAACTTCTTGGGTATTCAAGCCATTTAAAAACAGATAGGTTTTGCAGTGCAAAAACAAAAATGCAGTAATTATGTTCTGAAATTAGAATCAGGTTCTGGTGGAGGCTAGACAAATGTAAAATAAAGGAAACTGGCTGATTTACACCCAGCTGCCTCCATTATTAAGAAAACTTGGAGAAACAGTTTAGTATTTTGGATCATCACCCAATGCTACAGTGATGGCACATTTGTGGGTAACACTGTTCTCACAATAGAGCTGAATGAGAACTCCTCCATACCCCTACTCCACTCAGACTCTGATCACTTCAAACAGGAAGCTGTTTAGATGCTTGGTTGTATTCCAACTGGATAGAAATATATGCCCTCAGACTATTTTCCATACTTACCAGACAAACAAGAAATAAGGCCAGTGGAAAGGGATAAAGAAACCCTGACAGGATACTGAGAAATATAGACCCAGGGATAGCAAACGTTTGCAAGCTGGATGCATCTTAGTTAAGAAAAAATATTTTAAAAAGCTACCCAATTCTTAATTTTGTAAGCAGTCAGGATGCATATTACAATTTGAAAAAGCATAAATATAAACAGGCATAACCTCTAAAGGTCTTTACTTCCAGCTATATTTGCAGAGCAGCACAAGCCCAAGCACAGAGAAACAAGGGGTAGATTCACCATTACACATGCAAAATTAAGTCACTAAATAAAAGCTGTATTAAATTTTCCTTTTATCTGTGCTACAATTGGCACCACGGATTTATTGTGACATTACAGGAAACACACGCTTCTGATTTTACATTGTTGACTAGAGATACACAGATTTCAGCCATTTTCTCTGAAAGTTCACAGAACTCCTGTCTGAGCCTGTAACTACTATGAGTTTCATGGAAGACTGACATGTATGAGGGCAACTCCTACTTCCTTACCAACAGGCATGGTGCAATCATTAGATAACTAGGATACATGATCACTAATTTCAGTCATAATTTTTCAAAAAGTTTCTGCAGCATAAGCAAACAGGCTGTTGAGCTTAAGGCTTGCTAAGAATACTTGAGACTATGATGTATGGCCCATTTTGGCTAGAAATCTTACAAAGCAAAACAAATTTGCACACCATTTTATCTGAGTTGAATTAACTGAAATATCAAAAAGCTAAATCAACTTCCTTTAATTAAAGTCCATTACAACCAGTACAGCCTTTTCTAAGAAAGTGTCAAGGTTCTGAGATAACTAACATGCTTGTCAGCTGATCAGTCTACTGCTGAGACAGTAAATGTTGTCACATCAACTGCTATAGTAGCTCATCAAACAACCGATTCTGTTCTACTTCTTGCTAACATGTAAGCTAACTCTTTATTTTTCTTCATAAATCTATTATTTGTGACCTACACTTAAAAAGAACGAGGCTAATTTGTAATGGCACATTCAGCACTGATTTTTCTCCAAGTTACGAAAGCCTCCTGCATTAAATTATGAAACAGACCTCTTATACAGCTTTTAAGAGTTATTAACCTTTAGTTAAGTGTTCCAGTTAGGAGTGTGTTTAATGATTAATTAATGTATTCATCACTCAAGAAAAAAGTTAACACAGAACACAGGTAGTCTTTGTGTCTCTCTAGGTGGAAAGTACTTCAGAAATTTAGCACTCTCTAAAAGGAAATAGAGATTTGTTTTTTGAATGTGAGCACTGCAGCAATGAAAGAAGGATCAAAACCGTTTCCCTCAGAAACACTGCAAAATATTCTCTGAATTACTGTTACATGGCACTTCTGAATGTCTCAAGGGAAGAGCAGTGCAGTAGCCTCAGTTTTCCTTTAGAATCAACAGTAATTTCTAATAGGCAATTCAGTTTGCAATTTTGTGAATTGATGAAGGTGAAGCATCATGCAAATCCCCAACCGCATTTAATACTATACATGCAGGCATCAATTTCCTTCTACTTCATTCTTTCTTACAGTCCAAAAAAAGCATACTGAAACACAGAAGAAATGTTTTAAAGTTCAAAGATTTTGGAATATATGTGTATTTATAAACACACCTAGGTATGTTAGCCCTCTTCACCCATGATCAAGAATTTAAGTTTGTATTTTTAAATTCTTTTTCAGAGAAACAGGACTACATCAAAACTGCCCTTTATATCAGAAAAAGGATACAAAACATATGTGGCAAAATAAGCCACTAATACTTGAACATAAAATGTGTCCTTATATTTGGACAGGACTTTTCCCAAGGCCTTTGCATCATCCATATCTCTAGGAACCTTTATACACTCTCTCTCTTCTCTGGAAAAAAAAAAAAAGTAGGAACAGTGATAATTATAATCAAACAGTATAGTAAAATTACTTAGTGAATATACAGATAATTAGATACACTGCATCACTAGACTACAACCTCAGCAAACAAACCACATGATTATTGTTGTGAAAATGTTCTCAGCTGAACACTTAACATTTACAGTGTGTTTTGTATTAGAAAATGCTCAATTTTCAATATTTGCAAACCATATTTTTTTATTCATTAAAATAATCTGCTTCATTTCTAGGGTTTTGTGTTTCTTTTTTTTTCTTACCAAGTACTGATCAAAAAGAAATAATTTCTCAAACCAAGCCTTGGCAACTGAACAACAGACAACATTTCAGCCAAAACCAACTGTAACTGCCTCAATACTAGGGTCATAACATTTGAAGTGCAGCAAGAGCGGCAGAGCTTTACCTCACAAACAAAGCTTTAAGAGCAAAATCTCATGTCACACCTTAATCTGGTGCAACCCTGGGCAGCACAGCTGAGTGTCCTCTCTTCCTCTGTATCAGACTTAGTGATTGGACTGTTGCAAACTGAACTTGTTGAGCAAGTTAATCAGAGAGAAAATTAACTACTAAAAGAAAAAAAGAAAATTGTCAGACAAGCAGGCTTCCATCTTGTCAAACTATCTACCTTCCCAACACAAGTACTAGATTCAACAGAAAGAAGAAAAAGAGAATGTAAAGCTTAGACATAAAGGAAGAGGGATGTCCCCCTTTGATGACAGTCTCCAGTTATACCAGTGCACAAGGAATTTTAAAATAAACCTAGGTCTAACCAAGCATGTTTTGGCTTTCAACTGAAGAAGGTTAAGAACATAGTGAGTTACCATCACTAATGTGACGTGGGTAATTTTTTTCAAAACAAAGCATCTCAACTGTGCAACAGAAACCCTAGGTCAACCCTATGTACAAGTCTCTTTACACAGGTCTTACCTGTGTTAGTATTTCAATATTAAGCTTTTATCTTGACATTCTAGGTTATAAACTCAAATTCCCTTTAAAAAAAAAAATAAGGACTTCTCTATAATTAACTGATGTCAGTTTAAAAATCACTTAACCCCATGTAGGCTCCTCTACAATTTGATACTGAAGAAAAACAAATAAATTAATCTTTCCTGACATACTTACTCACTAAGCTGTGGGAAATTTTTATATACCAGGAACATGAGGAAAGCAGCTGATAAGAAGATGGACACTAAAATAAGAAGTGATGTGCGAGCTGATCCACCTTCTGCCTGAGCTTTCCCTGAAATTAAACAAAAACAAAGTTTAAAAAAAAAGGAACCAAAACAACAACAAGAAAACCCTCACATCTTGTAACAAATTTCAAACTTACACTCTAAGAAAATGTTAAGTTAAGCTCTCTGTGGACATAATCTTCTCACCAATGCTTTCAATAACATATATAACACATTGCTCAGATTCCCTGAAAGCTTTCAAACAAATTTGAAATTCTAACACTAGCAAACATCCCATAGAAGTAAACTTGTAATTTATTAATTTTGAATTATATTTACAATAATATTACTAATATTACTAATATTAATAATATTATTATAATATTATTATAATATTACTAATACCATAATATCAAAATATTATCAAACTAATAAGAAATAAACTTATGATCCATAATAATTTAAGACCCAACTAATAAATAAATTTGCAAAGAGAAAAAGAGCAAAACAAAGTAAGCCATACATATTTTTTCCTTTTTGCCAGAAGTCTTCTGCCAGTCAACCAGAGATTTAACTTGCAGTTAAATCTTCAGTATGTATAATGCAACTTCTAAACATGCTCATCAACAGTTGGTTTTTTTCCTCCTCCTAAGAACGAACACCAGGCACAGCCACTAGCCAGTTAGGTGGGACACACTCATCAGGATACGACTTATGTAACACACACATGCATCAGCCTGGGCTATAAAACTACAGTTCTCAGACTTGGGAATTACACGTATTTTACACTCATATAAAGACTTCTCTTAGATATATCTATGTAAGTTTCTATTAGCCTTTAAATTCTTGTGTACTTGTTGAAAGTAGTGGAACCACAATAAGTGACACAATTACATTTTAGGCCTCTTCTATACTTTACCAATATGACCATATATATTAAATACACCGATTAACACAAAGAATTTTAAACAGAGAAATAAACAGTAGGAACCCTCTGCACCCACACTAGGGTGTGAACGTGTGCACGTATTAGAACACCCTCCCTCCTCAGACACTGATAGAGGCTAGCACAACTTCACAGCTAGTGTCAGTCTCGGTCACCTGAGGAACACAAAAAAATGCCAAGGCTGTACTTTCATTCGTGGATGCCGGTGGCATGACTACAATGCCAACGCGCAACGTTCGAGCGGGTCACACTGCCACCTCACTGTTGTGAAACAGCGAATGGATGATGAAACCTAGGGACGAAACGGAGCTGGCTGGACGAGCTGGCAATTTTACACGCTTTAACCTTTTTCTCTTTGAGGTGAGCGTGATCCCACAGGTGTGCACTGGCTCTGCTGAGGGCGAAGGCGGCATCCATGGAGTAGCTACAAGCATGAATACCGCACCGGGGGTTATTTTAATAACATCTTCTCCAGAGAGAAAAAATAAAAAAAAAATTAAAAATGAATTAAAAAAAAAACAACTTAGAGGACGAAAAACGACAATAACCCAACTGCACTTTCTACCA